TCACCAGGACTGCCATCAGCACCACCACCATCCGCTGCGGACGTTGCAGCGCCCTTTGAGGTCGCCACTGCGCTGCCAATCACCATCACCAATGCGTCATCGTCAGTCATCCGCAACACCCGGCACTTCTCCGACTCAGGGTCAAACACATTCACAGAACCCGTGAGCTCATGCGTGTCCAGGTTCCACACATACACCATGCCATCCTCGCAGGCAACTGCCACCAGGCCGTTTGGTAGATGAACGATGCGAGTTGCCTTTGCGTTGTCATTGGGCCTGCGCAACCTCACCACACGCTTACCGGTGCGTGCTTCCCACACGTACACATCTCCAAGCCCGTGACACCCGCACACCCAACGGCTGTCTCGAGTGAAGATAATATCTTCAAAGCCCGTTAAGCTCGCCCCAGCCGAGCACACAAACCAGTGGGTTGAGCTCCTGGGGTTTGTTGTATTGTTGAACTCGTGGTAGGCGGCAGCCTGGCGCCGACAACACAGTTTCAGCCGCCTTGAACACCACTGTCTGGTCTGGATACAGCGAGGCGCGTGCCATGACTGCACCAGGCGTCTGCTCGAAGATGAGGGCATTGTGAGCCACAAACCGCGTCCAGACGTTGAAACTGTGTTTCTTGAGCAGGCTCTCCAGTGCGCCACCACCACGACCACCACCACCACCACCACTGCGCTGCAGGTCTTCAAAGTCTGCCACCAGCTGCCGCACCATCCCCGCGGTTGCCTTGGCCTCAATGAACTCGAGGTTGCATAGCGTTGTCGCGCACTCCTCCCACCGCTGCGCGTGCATGAGGTGGAACGGCAGCACGGCAACCTTGCGTGCGTTGACCACAACACCGGAGCGCGGGTCATCGAGCCGACCAGCCAGCACCGTCTTCATGGAGGCCACTTTGCGGTCGCGCAGAGCACTCGCGTCGTCTGTCTTGTCGTGCAGGTGGCGGCCGTGCTCCCACTTGCCGCTGAAGTAGTCTGCAAGCTCGCCGTGCCGCTGCACTGAGAGGGCCGTGGTGGTGGAAGTGGAGGCAGTGGTGGTGGACGAGGAGGTGGCGACGTCACCAGCACCATCACCGTTACCGTCGCTATCATCGCCCGTGTCACCACCAGCACCACTGCGCGAGTTGAGACCGAGGTAGCGTCGCTCTGCTGCCTCGCGGTGCTGGCGATGGTACCATGCACGGACAGTAACGCCGCCCTCAGCGCCACGCTCCACCAACGCGCCCTCCAGATCAGACACGATGCGTGCCCATATGAGCGGGGGAACGCGGCGGACGGGCGGCACCCACCACTCGTAGATCTCGTCCAGGACGGTGTCGTTGCAGGACAGCAGATCCTCCATCTCGTTGTCGCTGAGTCCGCCGCGCGAGGCAGAGAGGTACCCGAGCGCCGCCCGCACCGTTTCCTTGCCGTGTCGCGTCTCCAGCTCATCAAACACCTTCTCCATCAAGCCCTCCACCGTCTTGGGGAAGAAGTCGGGTGCAATTGCGTCCGTGTGGTTCCAGCGAAGCGCAAAGAACTGCGTGCAGATGCGGAGGTACAGCGGTGTGGGGCAGGACTCGTAGGCGCCCAGCACAACACTGCGCTGTGCAGGGGTGAGGGACCGCTTGGCATCGGCCAGCGACGATGCCGTCTGCGTCATCTTTGCTGATCTTGGCCACGTGCTGCTGGTTGGTGTCTGGCAGCGTGGCCTTAAGCACCTCCCAGCATCCGCCCACATCCGGCAGACTGGAGATAACGATGGCACAGTTCGGCGGCAGCGATGCGAGCGGCAGCCAGTCCAGGTTGCGGCCCTGGTCCTCGTCTGAGAGCTGGTCAAGCGAGTCCAGCACGAGCACCAACGGTTTGTCAGCCGTGCCAAGCTTGAGGGCAGCCTGAAATTGCTTGGTCAGCTTCTCAAAGTCGGCTGCTGGCGCTGCTGCTGGCTCCTTTCCTTTGATGCGCGGTGGATATGGCGGTACACGTTGGCCATCAGGGTGCGAGCAGCGCCGCTCTCCCGCGACGTGCCCAGGAACCGCGACACCACAACGGCAGCTGGGTGGGCTTCCTTGATGACACCTATGGCGTGTGTGTGTATGTATGTATGTGATTGAGTGTGTGTGTGTGTATGGTTGTGAGCGTGTGTGTGAGCACATGACGAAACAGAAGAAAGCGGAACGCATCCCACAATGAGGACATGCATGAAGGCAAGCACAACAAGAGACATTCGCATGCACGCACGCATGCACACACACACACGCACACACAACGCACCTGCGATGTGAGCCATTAGTGAGGTCTTGCCACTGCCAGATGGGCCACAGATGGCAAACGGAGCTGCGTCCTCCTTGCCACTCGTGATGCGTTGTTGCACATATGCAAGGGCAGCATCTGCCGTTTGCTGAGTGGCTGTTGTAGACACGAACCCACAACGCCGCAGGTTGCCGAACATGGCGTGCGCCGCCGCCTCCTCCACCACCGCGTCGCTCTCAAACGCGTGCTCGCGCGCAACACGTTCAATGTCCGCGGCCAGCGTGTCGCAGAAGGCGTCGGCAAAGGTGCGCATGTACTCTGCGTGGTTGGTACGAGCGAGGTCGATGCCTGGTCCCCATGGGATGGACATGGTCTTGATGCGAGATGGTGACAGCGCAGCCGGCACCGCCTCTGCACGCAATCGCTCCAGCAGCTGCTGCGCCTCCTCGTCCACCTCGCCACCAGCCATGTCGATGAACAGCTTGGCCGTGTCTGGGTCCGATGCAACGTCGATGCCCTCCAGGCGCCGGTCAAAGACGAAGCACGCCTTGTCGCGCGCCTCTTTCGGCTGCACCTTGAACAGGCCGTTGTCAATCTCCTCCGCCGTCACGCTCTGCACGTACAGGGCGCGTCGCTCATCAGACAGCCCAGGAGCTCCCGTTGCCGCCTGGCGCAGACACGTCTGCAACGTGGGGAAGATGTCGGACCACCACGCATCAGAGTGCTCCTTCTTCACGGGCTTGAGCTCGCGGGTCGGCGGCACGACGTTCTCGTTGAGGACGAACCACTCGTCCATGTACTCCATGGCCTTGTTGAGTGCAGCTGAGGTCACAGTGGACGCAGTTTGCTTGGCTTGCTTGGCCATCTCGTCCTTCAGCAGGTTGAACTCCTCCTCAGGGATCTTGGCGGGAAAGGGGCGGAAGCCACACTTGTTCGCAAGGATGAGCACATAGATGAGACCGCTCGATTCTTGCTGGCACCTCTTGATATCCCGCATGCAAAATATATGAAAAGTGTGTGTGGGGAGGGGGAGGGATGTGGGGTGGTCAGTGTGCGCGTTGAAGCTCAGAGTGAGAGTGGGAAGGGATTATCGGATTGCAAGCTGTAACCACCTCACACACACACTCATTCACACACACGCAGACACACACGCAGACACACACACACACACACACACACACATACACACACACACACACACACACACACACACACACACACACACACACACACACACACACACACACACACACACACACACGCACACACACACGCACACACACACACACACACACACATACACACACACCTCGCTGGTTTCGTGGGCGGCAGAGGCCTCAGAACGAATGCCCCAGCGCATCTCGGAGGACTGGTAAACTTGCACACGCAGGCGTTGTCCGAGGGACTTGAGGTACGGATACACGTCCTCGATCAAGGCGTTGCGCTCCACCTCCGTGTCAGTGAACGTGGAGGAGAGGAACAGGCGGATGGCCGGCTGTCGCGTCCCCAGTGTCTGGATCTCGCTGTCGGGAAGTGCGTCGCCTTCCAAAACACGCTTCAGTGTCTCAGCTGGTCGCGCACAGGGATCCAGCTTGGCACGCGCAGCATCGTCCAGGCGCTGCTGCCACTGGCCACGTTTTGATCGCGACACACCATCCCACAACACGGGGAGCAATGGCTCTTGTTGTTTGGTGTCAGTGTTCTTGGTTGCAGTGTTTGCGCTCGCTGTTGCGTTCCCGCTCGCATTTGCGCGCTCCTCGGCCAGCTCCTCATGCATCGCCAGCTTGCTCTGGTGGCAGCCCATCTTTGCTCGTTTGCTGTGCTGACGGTTGCAGACACAGTGGGGTGTGGCGGTGTGAGGGTGAAGTGAGGCGTGAAGTAAAATGAATGCACGCTGTCTGTTTGTGTCTGTTTGTTGGCTGTGAGGGCGTCGCCAAGCATGTGCACAGGCAAACAAACAAACAAAATGCGCTGCACGCCGGAGTGTGCAGCGCAGAGCCAAAACGCGCAAAAGCGAGTACATGGGAAAGGACGTAAACGCAATGTCACGAAGAAATAATTGAAAGGGGCGTGGTGAGTGTTCAGTTGGTTGGGCAACGCCCCCTCCCACCTGATGGCAAGGCAACGACGACTGGGGACTTTAAAGACTGGCTTGTTGTCAGCGAGGGTCTGTTTGCGTGACTGTGATCTTATGATCCTGGCGTTGATGGTGTGTAAAGTCTTCTTGGTGGTGGCAGAAAAGAAAGCCATTGCCCTCAGCTCGTTTGAGAAAGCTGCGGTCGAGAATACGCTAGTTGGACGAAATGAGACATGCAACAAGGTAATCAACCCGCTCATGTCATGGTCAATCAACAGATCACTAGATTAAACATTCACTCTTGATCTCAGACGTGAGGGCAGCACAAGCCGCGACAAGCTCAAGCATAAATGCATGGGTATGATGAATGCCACACACCAGCCCAGCAGCTCATCGAGTGCAGGCGACCCAGTGTTCTTGATCTCCTCTCTGTGTGCTGACTTGCACTTTTCCACTCTGGGTACATGGAACAGTGCTGACCTGATGTGCTGAGCGCAAGCTGATGCATAGCCACCATTGTATTGTCACCACAACAAGAAGTGTTGAAGGAACTCAGAGACACGCAATCAAGGAGGTGCCATCAAGGGGTCGTCAGGCATGATCTATGGTGTTGGTGCCAAACAATGAACAACACGAAAGTAATGCGCGACATAAGGTCTCTCCAAACCTGCTAACCTGCGCCACGACACTTGAACAACGCAACATGTGTGTTGTGGGTCACAAATACCGTGAGGAGTGGGGAGAAAAGCAAAAAGTATCCACCTGAAAGCACGCAAAAGGCACAACAGAACACAATATGTACAGCCCATGCAACCCAATACACACACACCACACACACACACACACACACACACACACACACACACACACACACACACACACACACACACACACACACACACACACACACGCACGCACGCACGCACACGCACACACACACACACACACACACACACACACACACACACACACACACACACACACACACACACACACACACCATGCAGCAAACGCGCAAACGCTGTCCTTCTGCTCATGGTGGCCCAATGACATCCGTTCCTCGTCCTAGTCGTCCTCCCTCGTCTCTTGCCCAATCAAACCTTGAGCACGCCGTGCCAGCTCTCGCCACCACCACCCACATCAGCACTGGATCCATACACAGCTCCTTGCCCACGCCATCCCCTGCAGGCCAGCCTCCTGTGATGCTGCATGGAAGCTCACCAGCACACACTGCTGCTGCTGCTGCTGCTGATGGTGGTGGTGGTGGTTCCTAACTCATGTGGAAACTACTGCCCCATACACCAAACAACAGAGGCGGTGTGATCCCTTTCCACGAAGCGATGCGACACTGGGCACATTGCGGCTCGTTTGATCCCTGTGGAATGATGGTCGTTTGATTGGGCGGGTCAGGTCGGTGTGAGCAACAGTAGTCGAGAGGTGGAGAGGTGGAGAGGGTCAACGCTTGCAAACTTGACAACACGCACACACACATGCACAGGATCATTCTCATCATCGCTGTCTCAGCCCTTCTCCCACCTTCTGTGTCACCACCACCTCGACACGCTTACGTATGCATGGTCACTGTGACAGCAGAGGCAACAGAACCACTGCCAGCACACCAAACATCACCATCATCACCATCATCAGATCAACACGCACCCATCATCGTCGTGTGCTCGTGGCCACAACCAACCAGACCAACCAACCAGCCAGCACAACACACAAACTTGCCACTTCAAGTTCGGAGGATTGTGCGCATCATTCACAGACTTTCGTCAACCAAGCAACGCATGTCACTCACACACACACACACACACACACACACACACACACACACACACACACACACACACACACACACACACACACACACACACACACACACACACACACACACACACACACACACACACACACACACACACACACACAACATGGAGTGCTGGAAGCTGGTGGCTGCGCGCGTCATGTCGATGCCAGACGGCGACGATGCGTCGGGCACGCTCGAGGGGTTTGACGTGAGACACAAGGCAGATTACGGCAAGGCACGCGCTGTTCTCAACCTGATGTTCACCTGCCGCGAGCTGTACCATGACTTGCCCTGGGCCGTGCCCAAATGGTACCTTGCGAAAGTGCTGGAACAGGCCATCAGTGCTAAGAAACTCAGGTACAGCTATGTGGAGGACAGAAGCCACTTTGGCGCACAAGGCTCCGTGCCCGCATATTCCAACCTGAAGTTTGAGAACGACCCTTACCCCACCGTGTCAGATTGGCTCGACACCTTTCAAGCCGCGCTCCTCCCACCGCTGCGGGTGCGAAGAACCCCTGATGACACCACCGGTGAGGACACCACCAACGAGGACAGCAGCGAGGACAGTGGCGGCAGTGACAGCATGACGGTGTGGATGGAGAACCGCTTCCTTGCCTACTCCCGGCTCGGCGTGACCTGGGCCAGCGACCTCCCCTTCTTGCAAGCGCGGCTGAAAAGCATTCGACCCTCAACCGACGACTTTTGGCGGCAGTTTGCTCAGCACGGACGCATCACATTCAAATGCATACGCGACATCGAAGCATGGGCTGCTGCAGTGGGCGCAGGACGTGCAGGGCAGCGACAGGGGAGGGGAGGGAGGAAGGCGCAGAGGCGCAGGAGGAGGCGGAGGAAGGAAGGCGCAGAGGCGCAGAAGGAGGCGGAGGAGGAGGAGGAGAGGAAGGAGGAAGAAAAGCAGCAGCAGCAGCAGCAGCAGCAGCAACAACAACAACAACAACAACAACAACAACAACAACAACAACAACAACAACAACAACAACAACAACAACAACAACAACAACAACAACAACAACAACAACAACAACAGCAGCAGCACCAGCACCAGCACCAGCAGCACCAGCAGCACCAGCAGCAGCCGCAGCAGCCACACCCCGCCCTGTTTTATGCCACGGTCGAGTTCAACAGCCAAGCAGATGTGGACCGCTTGAACGAGCTGCGTTCCACAGCGTTGGGTGGTGCACGTGCAGAGAAATTGGACATCACAACCACAGCACCGTTGGCCTCCCTAAATATGTGCAACGCAAACACGCTTGTCTTGCAGGACATGTTCCATATGGTGGAAAGCGTCACTTTTCGCGACATTGGACATATCCGATGGCACAGCATATCGTCCGAGCAAACCACCCTCCAAGGCGAAG